AAACAGTTGTAGTTGAAATGGAATAAGGGACAGATTTTTTTTTCAAATAATAAGGCTGAAAATGCTTTACATAATATATCTCCAAGCCAAACAAATTATTTTGAATTCACCAGTAATACCCATTCATTGAGAATGATGAGAAAATATAAGCAAAAGAGCAAAATGAAAGAATCCTGTGTACTCATTTTTTTCCTGTGCATGTGTAAACACACACACACACACCCACACACACTTTTTCCCACCAAAAGTGGAACCTACTGTTATTTCATTCAACATTAAATCTAATTTTACATCAGTTTCAATGTTGTATAATATTCCATTGTCAGATATACTACTCAACCAATCTCTTAGTTTATAAGTTTAGGTTCTTTCTAGTTTTTTTTTTTTAATGTTACCAACAAGGTATTCATGAATATCTGTGTGGAAAGCTTTAATTAGGTCCTTATAATACTTTTAAAATAATTCCTATTTGACTTTGAGATATATGATTTACTGGCAGTATAACTGTTTTATTTAGATCAATATTAAATTAGGATGGACCCCCCCCCCGAGGTCAGGGGAGAGGTGGTTGGAGTAACAGGTTTACATGAAAAGGCTGTGAACAATTGTATTATGTTTGGACACTTTACACATTTTTGTTAGCAGTGCGGATGAAAAGGCTGAAAATACCAGCTGTCATCATGAAGTGTTCTGACCAGTTATGGTTGTAAAGAAGCCATGCTATTCCAATTCTGTTTCTTAGGAGGGGCATAATTTCCCTCTAGGTTAGAGAACGGGGGTGGGGTGGGTTACTAACGCCATAACCAGGCCAGGCTCTTTGTAGTCATGTCCTAGGAGCACAGTTCCCAGGGTGAAGAGTCCTCATATCTTCATCTCTCCTGATACATTTTGATAAGTTATGCCACAGAAAAGCTGAAGCAATTTACACTCTTTCTGTCCAGAAAGGTCAGGACAGGCTTAACAGAGGAAGGGATATTCGAACTGAGTCTCGAAATCTGATGGTTTTTACCAAGTTGATGGGAGCGGCATATTCCAGGCATATGCAAAGGCAATAAGGCAAGTTTGGGGGACTCCCCGGGAGTTACACTACCCATCTTCCAGCTCCACTGAAATCTTGGCTATGCTGCCCTAGGAAGCCTTGGCAGCCAGATGGCATTTCTTTGGTTACACTCTTTGTCCTTGGCTCTATTTGACTGAATTTGATATAGTCCCTCATTCACTGAACAAATATTTCTGGAGGGACTACCAGGCTCAAGCTAGTAAGGGAAGAAGGGGAAGAGACAAATTCATGTAATTCTAAAACATTTGGCATCTTTCTAAAAGCTGCTAGATCTATTTGAGGTGTTTTAAGTAGAAGAGTGTTAAGCCAGCCATTACACAAAACTGCCTCTGCTGTTGATTAAAGAAAAGACAGACTAGGGGCAGGGAGGAGGTTTAATAGACTCATGCAGTCCAAGCTTGAGATAATGAGGGCTTGAACTAGGAAAGGAGACAGTGAGAAGGGGATGGATACAAGAACATTAAGGTTACAGACTGGTCCTTGCCTTCAAGGAACTCACTATCTAGGGGGAGGCACTAAAAAGCAAGTAAGGTGATAATGAAAATATGGTGTCGTAAGTGTTGTGTTGGGGTAAGTACATGAGAAGGCCATCTAACCCTCTCATCAGTGGAAGTGACACTGATGCTGGGACATAAGAGGGGAAGGAAATTATCCCAACAAAGGACAGCAGCTTGTAGGAAAAGGAGACCCATTCAAAGAATTTGAAGAATTTAATTCCATTGGCTGGTACTTAAGATGACTCATACTTAAGAGTGCAGGAATGGGGAGCTGCAAGAGATAAGGAGGCAGAAGTAGAGGTCAGATGATGAAGAGACTTAAAATCTATGTTAAATACCTGAACTCTACCCGGAGGGCCACCAGGAGGTGCTGAAGAGGTTTACAGAAGTGGGGAGAACAATTTATACTTTAGAGAGGTCCCCTAGAGATGAAGCACGGAGAATCTGCAACACTTGGTAACTGGTTTCTTGAGGGTGTGAGAGAGAAGTCAAGGGTCATGTCCCTTTTGGTATAATGATTACAAGCTCAAGCCAGAGTGCCAGCATTCAAATCCCAACACTGTCTCCAACCAGCTAAGGCAGGTGAGTCAACTTCTCTGAGCCTCAGACACCTTATTTATAAAATGGCAGGACTTATATCAGGATTAATACATGTAAAGTGCTTATGAGAGTGCCTGGCACAGAGAAAGTATGTAGGGTGTGAGCTTTTATTACTATATGCATACCCTGATTTGTGGTCTGGGAAGTGGATGGAAAGAGGTGACATTTCCTAGGAGAGATTTCATAGGAAGAGGAGATACAGGGTGAAGATAACTGGCTCATTCTGACTACGTTGAACTTAAGCATTTATGGTGACCCAGCAGCCAGTGGCATAGAGCTGAATAGATGGTAAGTGAGCCTATGAGAAGGGAACAGATTGTCCAGAGAAGGTTCGGTGAGAAGACATAAAAGCCTTAGAAACCCTGAAGAGCAGCAGCATTTAAGGGACCTGCAAAGGAAGAAGGGACCGCTCCCAAAGGAAGCTGAGAACAGAAGAAAAGGGGGAAAAATTAATTGTAGTCTTATAGAAGCTTCAAGGACACATGACAGTTGGTCAATGATGACAAATGCTGAAGACAGATAAACTAAGATGAGGGTTTAAAAGGATCTATTAGAGTTAACAAAATCACGGTTATTAGTGATCTTGGCAAGAACCAGCTAAGCTGATTAAAGCAGAGACCATGAGTGTATTCTAGTTGCAGAGTGGAAAAGCTGGGAGCCGTAGTTTGAAGGAAATGTGGAGTTAGGAGAGGATTTAAAATGCAGAACTGAGGATCTTTAGATCCTGGAAGAGTCAAGAGAGGGAGAGAGGGCAGCATGTGTGAAGGGAGAGCCCTGACAAGGTGGTGATGCTGGGATACGGAGTTCAGGGAGGGTGGGTGGGAGGCAGCCCTCACAGCAATCGGGAGAAACAGTAACAAATAGGTGAGGCAGACGCTGAATGCTGAACGGTGTCTGTGGATTTGGAGATTCTCCACGACCTTGTGGCACATCCTTCCCTAAGGTTAAGGCTCTGGCTCCTGTCTCATATACAGGGTGTGGCAGGATAGCAAAGTGGTTAAGAGTTTAAGGTGTCCCAGTTTTATTGAGATATAATTGCCATAAAACATTGTATTCATTTAAGTTGCATGACCCACGTATATAGTGCAAAATAAGTATCACAGTAAGTTTAGTTACCACCCATCACCTCACAGTTACATTTTTTTTCTTGTGATGAGAACTTTTAGGATCTACTCCATTAGCAACTTTCAAATATACAATAAAACAGTTTTGTTAACCGCAGTCACTTAGCTTAAGTTTTAATCCTGGCTGTGCCACATTATGACTGAACAATCTTAGACAAATAGTTTCGCCTCTCGCTGTCTCAGCTGCCTCATTTATGAAATGTTCTGACCTCAAAGGTTGGTTGAGAGAATTACATGGGTCAACATGCATCAAGCAGTCATGCCTGGCAAACACGAAATGCTCTCTAATGTTAACTGTTACAGAGTTCCTAACTTCCCTCTCTAGTCTTCTCACAGTGTTCCTTCCACGTCTGACATGTATTCTAGGAGCTTAACAGGTAAGGGTACAGAGATTCCTAACCAAAACTCATCAAAACGGCATTATAATGTAAGATACTGACTTTGGTCAAAAATGAGATCTTGTTCATGTTCCAGAATTGATCCGATTGATCTGATTAATGTATTAATAGTGCTCAAACTGTCTCTATTCATTCCAGGCATGTGGATGAAACACAACATTTTAATTCAACAGATCTTGCCCCTACTACACGGACAGACATTATTCATGGCACTTGAGATTTATCAGTGAACTAAATAAATGCAGGTGATGAGGACTAGAGGATAAAGAAAAGTAGAGCTGGGAAAGGGAGGATCAGAAATGTGTATGTGAGGGGAACCAGGCTTTGATTTTAAATCTGGTTGTCAGGCGAGGCTTCATTTAAAAAGTGGCATTTGAGTAAAGACTGAGAGAGCTAAGGAAGTCAGGTTGAGCGCCTACTCTGTGCCAGAAACTGTCCCGGGTACCTGATCACAGAAATAAATAGG